TATATATATATATATAACTTACTGTATAAATTTTTATTTCTGTAATTATTTCAAGAATTGGAGAATAAGGTCTAATAGCTAGTGTGGTCATATTACTGAGACTTGGTATAGTAGATAAACTATTAAATTCCCATTTAATTTCATTATCATATTCTAAAAATAATCCTAGATAACTTTTCCAATTTTGAATTAATTTTTGAATTATTTTTTTTTTAAAATATATATCATAATAATAATTGTTTGCAATTTTAATAGATCTCTTAGTATAATTTCCTACAGAATAAAAATTCATAAGAGTATCATAAAGATCAGTAATATTAAGATTAATGAGGTCAATATAAATAGTTTCTCCTTCAGGAATACATTTCACTATATCTATGTCCGATATATAAGGAAAGTCAGAAGTGTTGTTGATATATTTCACATAATTTAAACATTCACTGGAAGTTGTTGATATATTAAAATCATTTAGAGAGGATATATGAAGTACTTATTGAAAAAATATAAATATTGTCAATATTATTAATAATTTTAAAATAAAATTAATTAATTATATTTACCTAAGTCGAAATCTTCATCTTTATTTTTAAATTCAATCTTAGTTGAAATATCATTATTAGCAAGTCTAAAAATTGTAAATATTCCCAATGATAATAATGATGATGTTATTAATAAAATTTTAAGAATTTTTAAAGAATAGGAATCATTTTCACGAAAATCAAACAAAGAAATGAAAAAATTTTTTAATTTCATTTTTAATAACAAAATTATATAACAATTATATATGATAATTATATATAAAATTTAACTAAATAAGTACTAATTTAGTTTAATGAATAAATATGGGCTGGGAGTTGATATAATTGACCAGATCTTGATTATAAATTAAAATAAATTTATCGTTTAAATTTAAATTAAAAATCGAAAATGTTGATGGGCTAGGTTTGATGTAATTAATAATTTTTATTTGTAGAATTGTGTTATTTTGATAATCTTAAAATTTATAGTTTAATTAATTATTTCTAAATAAAGAAAACTAAATTGGACCAATTATTTTGAAAAATACTTATTCGAATGTTATTTGGAGTAAAATTTTAGGATTATCTATTAATATTATTAACAAAATTATAGTTTTATTTTGTAATTCAATTAAACATAATTTTTTTATATCTCAAGAACATTTTTTATAATGAATTGTTTAATTAATAATATTGATTTGTCTTGAAAATTAAATAGAAATTAAAACATCATTAAATGTTAAAATGAAATAAACAATTTTAAAAATGAAATGAAAATAATAAAAACTAAAATATAAACATCGTAAAAAATTAATGAAATTTACAATAATTAAGATTTGAAATAATAAATTATTTATAAAAAACCCATTTTCCATTATCTGAAATTATAACATTGTTTTGTGCATATTGAGAAACATTAATAGTTTTCCAATTATTATGTTGTGTTATAACTTTTGAACCTTCTAATTTCCAAAGAATATTATCATTTACTCTCGTAAGAATAACTGGAATATTTTTGAAATTAGCACTCACCTCCCAAAAGTCATGGACCACCCCAAAAAAAAATTTTTTTATTAATATTTTGTAGAGCCACCATTACTAT